TATAAATTCAGGAAAATCAGCATTTGTGGGAAGCAAGAAAATTCTTAATTCATAATCACCAAACCCTGGAACCAAATTTACAGACTGGGAGAATTATGCTGAGATCATCTACTCTGCTAGAGTGGAGAGAACACTTGTTTGGGAGTCAGCTCCCCTGGCTCTACAACTTACTTCTTGTGAGGTCTGTAGTCTTATCTCTCACAACTTTGCTGATTTCAATTAATTTAGTTGATTCTCTGGTGTTCCCTGAGTAATCTTTGTATCATCTGAAAAGGCAATAAATTGGTTTTCTCTTTGCCTGGGATTATTTCCTCAATTTCTTTTTCTTGTCTGATCGCTATAGCTAGCATGTCTAACGCTATGTTAAATAGTAATGCTGACAAAAGATGTCCTTGATTTATCCGTATTCTTATTGAACAGGCTTCTAACTTTCTTGAGTTTATATAATGTTTGCAATTGGATTTAGATGAATGGTGTTTACTCTATTAAGGTCCATTTGTTCCTGATATTTAGAGTTTTTAATGGAAAGAAGTGTTGGATTTTATCCAAAGCCTTTTCAGAATCTATAGCTATAATTTTATAGTTTTATAATTTATATTATTAATATGGCTTATTATATTTATAGTCTACCTTACGTGGAACCAATCAGAGCCCACAACTTCTCTGAACTTCAGTTTCTTCCTCTGGAAAAAGAAGGAAGTCGTACCCAATGAATGCTAAGATCACTTCCATCTCTAGGTCTGTGATTCTAGAATCGTGGCAATTTAGGTGGCTCCATTGTGCTCAGAGCACTAGGCCTGGAGTCAGGAAGCCTCATCATTCTGAGTTTAAATCCAGCCTCAAACACTTACTTGCTATATGACCCCATTTCCTTCAGCTTCCTCATCTGCAAAATGAGCTAGAGAAGGAAATGGCAAACCACTCCAGGATCTCTGCTAAGAAAACCCCAGATGGTGTTACCAAGAGTTGGACTGAAAGAACCAAAAAGAAATAATGTGATTTTAGGTTTTTGAAGTCACTTGAAGGTTCCTATAAAAAGGGTTTTCAGACTTTAGTTCATCTTTCTTACCTGCCTTACCTGGGTAAGAGCAAATACCAGGATAGAGTAATAATTCACTTGCCAGCAATTCCTTTGTGAGCAAACTAGGAGATGCCCCAAACCATTCATTTCTGAAGAGCTAATAATATGAATAACAGATCTCATATGTCATATCACCCTCTTTAAGACGAAAGCTGCATGTTAGATGTGGCTGCCTCTTCCTGGCTTAGTCTGACAAAAGAATAGTGTTTGTAATGTAGGTTGTTTTTGCCTCTTGAGAATCATTCATCAAAACTCTTAACAAAACAGAGACCGAGGGTCACATGTTTGATTTGGATTCTTTTGAAACTGTCAGATTAGCGAAGTAAGCTGGAAGAGACCTCAGAGCCCATTTTGCAGATGAGGAAAATGAGGCCTAGGAAAGCCGGTTAAGTGTCTTGGGTAAGATCTCACAGGCAGATCTCGTTGGCATGGCGGGGATGTGATCTCAGGTTCTCTGACCTGAGTCCCAGTAGTCATTCTCTTGTACCATTAGCCCAAATGTGTTCAAGCAAGTCGGGCCATAATCCTACTTAACAGGTTTTATTCTGGGTCTTAATGGCCATTTCCCTTAATTTTGTCCAAGTCAAATAGAGGTCAATCATTAATTTTCATTGTGCTTTTGATGACACCCTGATCCCTTAATTTCCAGTTATCTTTGCCTGTCTTCTTTACTGTGTCTCTGTCAACAGATCATCTTTCTGTCCTTATCCCTGTTTTTGTTCAAATCATTGCCAAGGCAGGTGTGACTTTATTGCTTTCTTCTCTCCACCTTCACTCTACCCCCTTCAGGGAAGGTATCCTCCCACACCCCCTGCAGTGGCTGTTAACTTATTTTTCCTCCCCTAGAAGAATCTTTATGGGCAATGCCTCCATCTCTTCCCCTTGCCTCTCCTACCCCAGAAGCCGTGGCCTGCTCTCTACCCCGCTTCTCAAGACTCATTCCACAACTTGCCCATTCTGAAATGACCGGGACAGCTTGAGTCTAGCTTTGAAATTCCTGTGAATCTTTCCACCGTCCCTTACATATAGAGTACTTGCTGTTAACATCCTTTGTGTGACGTTGTCTTTCCAAAGGATCTGAGTGAAAAAAGCATTGGAGGATACCCCGTTACTCCCTCCCTTTATCTCTTTGTCCCCTTAACAGCAAAAATCACTTAGAAGACGTAGAGTTCTGTGCTAGACTTGTTCTCTTCCTTAGTAGGACAAAGAAGGAAGAGAAATCCTTGCCTGAAGACACAGAGTAGCAGTGGGACGTGAAGAGGGTGGGCCCTGGGTCACAAAGAAGAAAAGAGGATCTGTGGGGAGCTGACCAGGACTGAATCAATCCCTTCTCCCGCCCCCGACCTCCGTCATCAGCAAGATCTTCACCTCACGATAAATGCTTGTTGGTGGATTGAGTTCTTGACTGGTTCCCAGAGCCCTCCCAGCCCAGCCTCTTCCCTTCTGGGGCAGGGCCTTTTGGTAGGTGCTTTCCTCCCTCTAAGCCAGTTGGGGAGAAGAGGAGGATGGCCTGGCTATTGCATTGCTCCAGGAAAAGAGATGCTGTTGGTACTCATAGGTATGGCTGTACTTTAGGTGTTCAGGTGTGTGATGGCTTAAACATCAGACCTGGGAAAACTTCCTCCAGCCAATCCGTAAATCTGCCAGCAAGCATTTATTTAGTGTGGCCTGTGTACCGAATACCATACAAACCCTGGGGATTCACACAGAGAAACAATCCCTACTCTCCAAGACATTGTTCCTTAGCAAAATGCCTTCCAAGTTCCAAGCGTCTGACGAGCAAATGAGCAGTTCCTAGATCAGAGGGAGGAGAGTGGCCGTTTTGGGATTAATAATGAAAGGGAGCATACAGTGTTGTGGGGCACCTTTTTGGCCCCCTTTTTCTTAATCCATGGCATACAGCTTTTAATCATAACCGTGGTGCCAAAATACTGGCAAATAAACATAGATTTCTGATTTAATTACTCGGCAAGTGTGAATCAGAAAATACTTTGACTTTTTAAGTCATTACAAGCTTTAAGTTCCTCTTTATATGTTAATTACAAGAATAAACAACTCAGGGTCTGTATTTGCCCAGAATATGAAAAGGAAGTCCAAAAGTGAAAATATTTCCTTGGATTAGGAGCAGTGGAAAGAAGGTAGAAAAGGAGATTATGTGTTTTGGAAGGGCCTCTTGTGGAGTAAGGTTAGAATAGCTCAGTAAGTGCAATGCCTTTGATGAGTCAGTCCACCAACACCATCCCAGTCTAAGTCAGTCAATAGACACTTATTAGGTGCCTACTATGCATTAGGCTCTGTGCTAAGGCTCAAGACAAAAATACAACTGATCAAGACAGACTCTGTTCTCAAAGAGCTCACGGTCTGCAAGGTAGAGATGACTCAGATGGAGACGGCATACATTGGTGACAACCAGCAGAAGGAGGGTACTGGAATTAATGAGGATAGCAAAAGACTTCTTGCAGAAGCTGGGATTTTAGGTGGGACTTCATGGAATCCCCGAAAGCCAGCAGGGAAAACATTGCAGAACGGGGCATAGGCAGGGATAGTGCTGGAGTCAGGACATATGCAATGTCTTTCTTGTTTGAGGAGCATCAAGGAGGTGGGGTCACTGCTTCAAGGACTACATGGGTGGGGAGGAGAGTATAAGGTATTAGAAGACTAGAAATGTGAGGGAGCAGGTTATGAAGGGCTTTGAATGCCAAACAAAGCATTTTATATTTGATTCTGGAAGTGATAGGGAGCCATTGGAGTTTATTAAGTAGTGGGGTGGGGAGTGACTTGCTTGGACTTATTGAAACTTAACAAACTAGTTAATCAGCAAACATTTATTAAATGGGTACCTGGTGGCAGCCAGGCACTGTGCTGGGCATGAGAGATACACACAGGGATAAAAGTCTATGTATTGAATGGTGACTCAGTCACTAAGGCGTATTTTAACCATTTCACAATATTTTATTTTAGAAATGAATATCATGGAAACTTTGAATACAATAGAACACATTTAAATGTAATAGCAGGGGGTTGTATGGGTAAATGTATGGGTAAATAATGTATATCAACACTGAAAATTCAATAACCACTAATTAATTAACCTTAATCGTTGCATCCACATCTCAGTCTGGTGAAAATTAACCAATGGAATAGAATTAATTTCCGTTTTCAGCTTGCTCATTTCCTCTCCCATGCTTCAAGATCCATAATTTTGTCGATCAGGTCCCTCTACTTCCACTGACACAGATCGCAAACCCTCTGTAACTTAGCAGGTGCTGTCCCACAGTGGCTGTGATGGAAAATGCACCAGCCTGCAGCCCTCCTTCTGATGGTTCTCCTCATGCTTTCCTAGATGATGTATGCCTATTACTAATCCCAGCTTGCTACCTGAGTCCCCCCAATCTCCTCGTATGTGTGAAGTTATTTACATCTTTTCTGGGCCATTTGAAAGTAGACTCCTTGAGGTCAAGGGAGAGTGTCTTTGCCTTTCTTTGTGTTCTCAATGATTAGCGCACAATAAGCACTTAATAAATGCTGATTGACTTATCCATGGCATTGGGTATTACTAAATTTGCTCAATAAATCTTTGATTATTTCAAAGAAGGTATGCTGCATAGCTTAGAGATCATTCACTATGATTAATATAATACATGTATTTCTTTTTTTTAAAGGATACATTTTGCAGGTGGATACTATTTGTAGAACTAAGTAGCAATTAAGTTATATATTAAATACCTGTTTCTGAAGTCTTATTTGCAGATTACTCAGGTACTTAATTTATAAAATACTACAATATTCAGATTATGAATCTGTTTATGTCTTATTTAATAATCTATTAATTATTCATTTTTAGAAGTTAATCCCAGGCTGAGAAGGATTCTATTTGGCAGGATTTTTCCTAATTATCTTTTACTCCATTACCGTACAGGTATGTCGAGAGTATCAACGGGGCAATTGTAACCGAGGAGAAAATGACTGCCGATTTGCTCATCCTGCTGACAGTGCTATGATTGATACCAATGACAACACTGTCACCGTGTGCATGGATTACATCAAAGGGAGATGCTCTCGGGAAAAGTGCAAATATTTCCACCCTCCTGCCCATCTACAAGCCAAGATCAAGGCTGCCCAATACCAGGTCAACCAGGCTGCGGCTGCCCAAGCTGCAGCCACTGCAGCTGCTATGGTAAGTCACGGAAGCAGCTTCTCCTTTCAAAGAAAATTTGAAAAATAAACTATTTGTTTATTAATTTTTATTGTTTTTTGTTATATTGAAAAACTTTTTTTGCTGAAGATAAAATGGTTCAGGTGTATCCCAGTGTTTTCAGTGAAGTTCTTAAACATTTTCAGATTGACTTTACAAAAATCCTTTCCCTAACTCCCTCTCTTTGATTCTGAATCAGAGCTGTAACTAAGATGTGACAATCAGAGTTTTGCCCTAATGTGCTGACTTTTGAGGTCTCAGCCACCACTTACTGTGCTTCAGGAAGACAGAAACAATAGAGCAAATAGTGAGGAAGAATAATTAGCCAAAAGAAGAAGTTACCAAAGATTGGCTTGAAGTGAATTCCGTCCTCATCCTCCCCTGCTCTTCCTTCGACCTGAACTGGGGACAAATGCACACTGCATTGGCCTTGGTTCTTGCTACTTCCCCTCGGGCACAAACCTACCTAGGTACAGCTCTGTTTCTGAAAGTTGTGAAGTGTAAGAAGCAGCATGCTTATTTCAAAATTTAACGATATCACCATCGTTCCTGCACTCATTCTAATTGGTCATTCTTTTTCCCTTCGTGTACACACTTTGTACACCCACCAGAGGTTCTTCCTTCCTCTACCCTGCTTTATAACAGTAATGCAGTCTGGAACACTTTAGGAGGACAGCATCAAGCAAATAGTGTCTAACTTTAAGTAGTACATTAAAAAATAACTTACTGTTTTTACTGTCTTGAATAACACCATGGCCTAAGAATAATTGCAAGCTGAAGAAGCATACATCTCCCATTTTCTAGAGTAGAAGGAGCATAGTACTTCTGAAGGAAGGTTTCAGGTTAATGATGAAAAGAAAATGTATTTTTAAGGTACATTATAATGTGATCTAATAGCTGATTTTCATAGGTTCATTTTCTGTTCCTTGCTTAGCTGTTGTTAATATTGTCTTTTTTTTACATAAATACTAATTTGATCATTAAAATGTTCATATTAAATATTGTTATGTGATATTCATAGCCCAGTAAAATAGGAGAGTTCTTTTTTCAATGTGTTTCTTGATGGATACTTGAGAGAGAAAAAAAAATGCGGAAGTTAGACTCTCTTCCTATCTTTTCTTTCACTCTTTTTTCCTGTTAGAATATCTTGTTTGTAATTAACTACATAGAGGTTGTATCCTCACAATAACAACTTAGTATTGCCTTTATTGTGCATGCTTAGTCTTGTTATTCGTTGTATATGGCATTCCGATGATTTGTTTTTTTATTTGTTTTTTTCTCACCTACCCAAAAATGCACTGCTGCCCCCATGATGCACCTCTGCTTGCTGTTTATGTTAATGCGCTTGAACCCCACTGGCCCATTGCCATCATGTGCTCGCTGCCTGCTAATTAAGACTCAGTCGGCTGTCAAATCACTGAAGCGACCCCTCGAGGCAACCTTTGACCTGGTACTATGACCTTTCACCTTTTAGCTTGGCATGTAGCTTTATTGTAGATATGAGTTTTTTTTTAATTATTTTAAAAAAATAAATATTCCTTTTTTTTTTCTGTTGTAAAGTTTTAAAATACAATGGAAAACTGAGTGTGGTTTCCTGATATGATTAGTGGGGAAAGCTACTAAGTAAATCTCTGTATGTCCACCAACCAACCAAATATTCTTAAAAGTCCATTGGCCCACATTCAGTTTAACTGCATTGTAAGATGTTTTGATAAAGTACGTAGAGAACGTTACGGTTCTATCTATGACTGACTATGGATGGATCGGTTTGGTTGGCATGGCTTTAGGGAGGTTCTTCTGTAGTTTGGCCATAGGTAGCTCAGGGGTGAGGTACCTGCATGCCCCTGGTACCATTTGCATGTTGAGTTAGATGGGGGGTGGGCCGGGGCAGGTGGGAGCAGAGTAATATGGAGCTTCCCTGCCGCAGTCACTCTTATCAGGGAGATGATGATTAACCTGCTCATGGAGCTAGCAGCACACCTCGTCCTTTTTCCAAAATAATGGCTTCTTACTGTAAGCCTGAAGCATTGTGTAACTTAGAAGCACTTTAGTTCATAATAACATATGGCTCCAACATGTTTTCTTTAACTAGTGTGTTTTTTTTCTTAGACTAAAGTAATGCTTCCTTTAAAGCTTTTATCTTGCTTTTTTTTTTTTTTTGGTTAGTTAAGTCTGCTCTGCTGCTTGCTTGCTCATGGAAAAAGATGGTGCTCCCTAACTATTTGAGCCTTCTACTGATTTTTTTCTTTTTCTTTTCTTTTTTTTACTGGTCTTTGTTTTTTATACTCATTCACCACACAGGGAATCCCACAAGCTGTTCTTCCCCCATTACCAAAGAGGCCTGCTCTTGAAAAAACCAATGGTGCCACGGCGGTCTTTAACACTGGTATTTTCCAATACCAGCAGGCTCTTGCCAACATGCAGTTACAACAGCATACAGCCTTTCTCCCACCAGGTAAGGAGTTGGGGCTTTGCCTACAGAGACTTGCCATGACCTTTCTGTAGCTTAGCTGGTTACACTGTGACGAAGCAAGCAATCTACATTCACAACCAGATTTTCAGGACTAGACAAAACCAAGTGTGAAAGTCTTGTTTTCTCATAATCGTTCAGTAAGAGAGCAGTGATGTTGTGTCTCATGCTGACTTCCTATGAGATGATTTCCTTGGAATTTTGTATTTTTCTTAATGTATTATGGACTGTATGATATGAGACTTAGGGTCTTCTTTAAAATGAAACTTTAAATTATATTCTCATCTCCTTTTCCTCTCTTCTCACTATCTAAATAGCTATTTCATTTTATATTTTTTTGCTCCAAGACCCTTACCATTTTCAAATTGTTCATTAGGAATATATCAAGTGGCACCTTGTTAGAGGGTTCATTTTTCTGTTTTCATTTATCTCCCTTGAAAGGTAGGTAGAGAAAAACTGAAGAGAGAAGATGGCACCAGCTGTCTCATAGGTCTGCAAGGAGATTGTCCACTGATTCCAATCACTGATATTGCCTTAAATAAATGAGTTACTTACTACTCTTCACCAAGTAACCTGAGAGTTTCTACTCTTTCCCTATTTGCCCCCTGTGACTATATAAAGTTAATTTCAAACTCAACCACAGACATAAACTCTCTGTCTGCCAAGATTATTTTCCTCCAAACGTTAAAACTTAAACATGGTTTGATTTTTTTTCCCATTAAAGTAGCTGAAACTATAAATGAACATTAGAAAATGAATTTATTTTCCTGCCATGATTCCACTGAATATTTTTCAGAAATATATTTGTTAATTTAGTTTTGTATCATTTGTGGTTTTGGTCAATCCCTAAAATGGACATAGGTTTATTATAGCTAGAAAAGAGAAACAGTAGTTAGAGGACCTATCTGAACAATGTGGAAAAACTGGACAGAAGAGCCAACTCTGGCACATACTGGCTGTATGACCCTGTTAAAGTCACCTACCTTCTCAGTGCTCCCAAGCAACATTCTGTAGACGGCAAGTGCCAGTCTGCATCGATGGAGGGAGTTTTCTCACTGGAAGCTTTCTATACCAAAGAAATCATGGATCCAGTTTAAAAAAAAAAAAAACACACACACACACACACACACACACACACACACACACACACACACACACACACACACACACACACACACACATATATAACTACTGATACGGCCCAGTGTCGAAATTGCAGGCTAATTAACATATTTGTGAATGGGGATTCTAATTCATGTCCTCCAGGCTGTTGGCTTGAATGGGGGTGGCTACAAGCAAATTAATGTTGTTTAGGTGGTTTATCTCAATTCTTTAGAACAATTAAAGTTTTCTAGTTCTGAAACTGGGTAGGGAAGCACTGTAGCTTGAACCCTTAGGTCAGTAAAGGACTAAAACTTGAGTACATTGGAAACTTCCTTACAGTAAAGGGCTCAACTCCCCATTTACCAGGGTTATCCTACCTATCTCTGTATGTCATAAGAAGGGCACTCGAGGCTATTTTTACAATTCTTGTCCTGGGAAACCCAGTTAAATCCACATTCCCCAATGTGTTCCACTTAAGTCTTACTTTATTGCTTAATTGTGGTAGCGGGGTGGCCCTGGACACTCCAAGACTAGGGCAGTGGGACACAAGTTCTGGTATTTCCTACCATGTTCAAAAAGCCTTGAGCCTGGACCTTATGAGGGTGCTGCCTTTGGCTGGAACACTAGCCTTGCTCAGGTCTGAGAACCTCGTCACTAGAATATTGGCCAGTGGTGATGAATTTTGTCAGGTGCATCAGCACATAAAAACAATTGGCTTTGAAACATAGAGGGATTGTAATCTGCATCTGGCCTGTGAAATCACAGATTGGTGGCACATTCCCATCTGAAACATAAAATGTCTTGCTTGTTCCAGTTTTTTTTTTCCCTCTCATTAGAAGTGTGTGTGTGTGTGTGTGTGTGTGTGTGTGTGTCCCAAAAATCTTAGGGCAGTTTTAAGCTTTTAAAGGTTACGACTTCCCTAAGACTTTTGGGACAACCAGTATAGATATATATCATACACACAACACACATATATGCACATACACATATATCTTTATAGATATGTGTATATCTCTAGATATATATTCAGACATACACACGTATGTATGCATATAAATATACACACACACACACATATATATGCATATACATACATCTATCTACCCATATCTATATTTAAAATAACATTTATATAGAGCTCACTTTGTGCCAGGAACTTTGCTGTGTGCTTTATGATGATCTTATTTGATGCTCACAACAGACCTGAGAAGAAGGTAGTATTATTAACCCCATTTTGTAGATAGAGAAGCTGCAGCAAACAGAGACTAAGCGTCTTGCTCAGGGTCACACAACTAATAAGTGTTTGAGGCCGGATTTGAATTCGTTTCTGCCTGACTCCAGGCCCGATGCTCTATGCACTGTGCTACCAACCTTCCCCTAAATGAATAAACATTATAGATGCCTCCAATTTGAAAAGTACCATCCTACAAATTATATTTTTCCTTTCCTTGACAATGTACAATTAGGAAGCAGTTCAGAAAGTCAGAGGGAGGCGGTTTAACATAGTGGATCTCTGGGTCACTGTAGGCAGGTCTCACCAGAACCCCCCAGGAAAACCTCTAAGACTCTAGGTTGCAGAGAAGGGACCACTGGTAGAAGAAGGTTCTGTACCTGGGAGTTTGCTATACAAGGTCTAGTCCCTATCCTTTCATCAAAGCAAAAAATTGGTTTTAAAACAGATATTCTCTCATAAATTCCCAATTTGGCTACTTAATTGAAGGGAAAATGGACTTGGAAGGGCAGTTTTGCCTTAGGCTGGAGAGTGAGGGATGGCATTTAAGCAGCCAATGTGCCATTTATCCCTTCTTGTTAAGAAAGAAGTCCATTGGAAAGAAAGAGGAATATTAAGGGTCTTTCACAAGAGATTGTTTTATGGGTAAGTGGGTCCTACAGTGTTAGGTTTTCCGTTTTCGTGAATTTTTGCCCCTAGCAAGTATTCTCCCTGCTGCCTTCTCTTCATCTGTGGCTGATCCCTCCCTAAAATGTCTGCACATATTGTAATCTTCATGGTGATGATAACTCAGACTAAAATTCGAAATGAAAAGCTTTACTGTTCCATATTAGAAAGAGATTGCAAAGCTAACTGGTTTTTAGCATGCAGACCTAATTATGCATGGAATGATAGAATACAGCAGGTGAGTTATAACATGGAAACAGGCATAGAGTAATGAAAAATGTCTAATATTCCACAACCTTGAAACTGCTTTTTACCAGTAAATACCTCTTCTGTGTGTACATTTTCTTTACCCCCTCCGTCAGAATAACTAGAAGAACTAATGAATTTCCGCTCCCTGCCCTGCAGCCTTAAATTTAGCTTGTGGTTTTGTCTTGCATTAGCTTCCACATTATTACCAGTATAAATCACTTCTGTATCTATTTTCTTCTGAAAGGACAGTGCCTCTGAAGCACTGGAGACTAGAACAATGGGGCATAACCCCTCAGACACCCCAAATCATAGCCTACGGTGGCATCATATTCTACCTTGGAAAATCTTTCCCTTGATACACGAGCAGCAGTCTTGGTTTTCCTGATATCCAGTTGGCCCATTTTAGGAACCGCCAGTGAAAATCTTCTATATGCCACCATTTTTTCACTGGTTTACTCCCTTCTAGGTACGGTCTGCTTGACAATGGACCCGTCCCACTGAAGGGAAAAGGGCAGATGGAGCAAGGATGTCAGGGAGAAAGGATGCTTATTCCTGGGACTCAGAATGCATTTTCTCATAAAAACCTTTGTATACCTGATGATTCATAGATTTCCACTCTTAGATGATGATCGATTTCAAGCTTGAAAAACCCTTAGAGATGATGCACTACAAATCACTGAGGCCCAGAGAAATTAATTGGATTCCCTGTAGTCATAAAGAGAGTCATAAATTTGAGCAAGGCTCAAATTTGAACCCAGTCTTCAGGTTCCAAATCGAATACTATTCCCCATTAGCCACTTTGATTTCCAACGTTCTTGCTCTAGAACAGGGTGAGCAGTGGACTTGGAGGTAGAAAGTCCTGTCCCTAGACTGGGCTACATCCCTTGCAATGTGTGTGTGACCCTGAACAAAGTATCTTGGCTTTTTCTCAGCCCCAGTTTACACATTGATAAAATGAGGCTAATAATCCTTGCTCAGAACAATTTATTGGGCCATATCACATGAGAAAATTGTTTTGTAACCATAAAGTAGTATACCAAGGAGATAATGGCCACAATAGTAATAAATAATATTTATCTATATTGCCGTAAGTTTTGTACACAGCTGTTATTGCTACTATTCTAATTTAGGTGCATTATGAGTTAAACTTTTTTTGTGAGCTTGCCTAGGAACATAACCACTTTGTATAAAGCTGTTTCTATGGGGAAAATGCCTTCTGACTCCCAAACCATCACGCAGCACCAGTTAACATGTCTCTCCAAGCTTTCTTTGATTGTGACAACAACCTACCCACTGCTGTTCTTGCTATAACCGCAGTCATTTATTATTACCGTTTATGATATTGTTCTGAAGGGCTGCTCTGGAAAGGCTCCATTAGCAAATGATTTTTGAAGGAAAATTGACCCCAGGTGCCACCAGCAAGTCGTATTTAAGATGGGAGATGCCAAGTGTCAGGGGTGAAAAATAGCATCATTTGATCTTTTTTTATATCCAACTACTTAAAAAAGGTCTCTGTCTTAACAAAAGTCATTCTGCATATGGGAAAATGCCTATTCCTGGAGGGTTTTTTAAAAAGTGAATTAGAATTTCATTGCTTACATGTCAAGGGAAAAAAATGAGGGCTGCTTGGTATTTATCATATTTCTTTTGACATATGCTGGTGGAAGGATTTGTGAGTAGTAATGGCGAGGCCTTATCTGCTCACTGCTTAACCTCACCTGTTTTCCCCAAAGCATGCATCATAAGGCTTGCATTGAAGTCCAGTCACTTTTTAAAGTATCATAAACTCAGCAAAATGTCCACCTTGATATGGTAGCCTGGGTGATTGTTCAAGCCTCCTGTGCCTAATCCTGCCACGGATGCCTCAGTCCGCTCCTGGGGATGTAAGCCCTAGTGCAAGAGGTTGCATCTGTATGAGCCTAAACTGCTTTTTATTATCCTATCTTTAAATTCTGCATCCAAGGAAATCCAGACTTGTGTTTTTGACTTTTTGCTCAGTTTATATTGCATGGTGTCTTCATACCTTAGTTCACAAGTGTAGAAAATGACTGCCTTCCCCATCACCACCACCAACTAACCCCACTCCCTGCACAGCCCCACACCCAGGTGACGTGTCTCTATCATGTAAGGCCCTGCAGACCAAGGACGAGGAAGTAAGCATACGGGAGCCCCTTCCTTCTACTTGGTTGGTCTCACTACGTTGTTAAGTCGATTTTGTCTGTGGTACTCTTTAATGTTTTGTGAGAAAATGACATCTTGAATTATTTAGTTTAAGCTCAATCCAAAGGAAGAGTGAATGCATTATTACTGTATACCCAGTTAGCAAACCATTATAATACCATTCTTTGGACCATAGCCTAGAAATGTTTGGTTTCCCCACCCCCATAACGTTTAGCTATGAACTGATGCTAGACAGCAGTAAGGAAAAGCAAAAGTAGACCAGCCCCTTCTTATGTTGGCTTTTAATTTCCCTTGGGACCAGGCCTAACATATCACTCACTGGGCCATTGTATGATTGGATTGTGCTGATGGTTACATGCCACTGTTCCCATAATAACATTTTTGTTTCTTCTTTGTTCAAAAGAATTTCCTAATTACACGTGTGATGGGTTGTTTTAATTCTTTTCCCTTTTCAAATCCACCTTCCTGTTGCAATGCATGATGGGCAGGCTCAATCTTGTGCATGACACCCGCTACAAGTGTTGGTAGGTGCCAGCTTCATTTCTTGATTATCTTCAACTGGTGGTGTACCCCACAGCCCCTCAAAATCCACGGCTAGTTTAATGGGTGTGGTTCTTGGGCAAATTGATTCCCCCTGCACTGACAAAAACCTGTCAATTAAACGCAGTTCATCTCTTTAATTGGCACGGGTCAAGTCAATCCGGTCACTGGCGTTTTCCTTCACACGAGACAGTGATGTTTTTTTGGTCATCTTTTTGGTGGATTTTGATTGGACTGTGGTTCTGGTATTTTAAGAAATCTATCTCATAAAAGTAATATATTGTGTTATCTTTATAGTAGTTAATATGGTAATAGATTTATATTCAAATGGAGCTTTAGTAAACACTTATGTTTTCACTGAGATTTTGAATGTCTAAATGTGAGCTCATTTAAGTTTCTTAAGTTGACTTAGCCAAATAAAGCTGTTTGTATTGTTTTCCTGATTTGATGGTAACAAGCTTTTTTTTCCCCTTTTTTTCTCTTTCATTTTTCCCTCTCCCTGCCCCCTCCCTCCTGTCATCCTCCTCCCTGGAATGTTGTCCTGCTTTGCACTGTGATTGCATGTCATTTGCTGGTGACGATGCCTCGTCACGCGGCTTCCCGCTGTGGTAATTGCCCTGCCCGATGGTCCTCCCCATGTTACCATGGTTTCCATGCTGCTACACTCTTCTGTATGTTTGCTTATATGATTTTCCCTCCGAAAGTTCCCATGGTGCACGGTGCTACGCCCGCCACTGTGTCCGCTACAACAACGTCCGCCACAAGTGTTCCCTTCGCTGCATCAGCCACAGCCAACCAGGTTTGCTCATTTACAGCTCATTTCTTTAAGAAAAATAAACAAAAACCAACCCCCACTCTCGTGGTGCTCAGTCCAGCAGCCCTCGTGCACGTTGAGCTCCCGTTCAGATCCGCGGGAGCCGTGTGTCCGCGAGGGCTGGGGTGGTCCTTTTAATAAGCATGGGGGTCTCAAACATTCCTCTTGTTGGCCTATACCTTCTCTTTCTGATGAGTGGCAGAATGCTTTTGTGCCTTGGCTCGGTGCTCCAAGGGCGTTGCAACAACATTCCTAAAGGAAGTTGGGTTTACACTGGCATTTCTGACTCGGTCTTGGCATTTCATGCAGAGCACCGAAAGTAGGGATTGGAGGGTGTTCTTCCAAGTGCACATGAGGAGAAATTCGTTTGCTGCAGGGTGTCTCAGATCACACCAAGGTCAATTCTTTATGCCACAAATGACCACATTTGTAAACTGAGTTCTTTAAAAATGGCCCCATTAGGGTCAATAGATACATTGAAAGGCTGCCTGTTCAACAGAAATTATCAGGTTTTATAGAGCCCCTCTTAAAAGATTTGTGGAATCTCTAGGGATTCAGGGGAGGAATCCTACTTTAAATAGTCCTTAATGTGCAACAGAATGTTAGGCCACAATAAGCATGTTCACTGGTTTCTCATCCACTGTTAATCATAGAGATTTATGAGTTATAGGATGAGAACCATGACTGGCCCTTTGAAGTAGAAAGTTCTTGCATCCAGAATTGGTGTTTCATGTTGGAACAGCCAAGAAAAGTGTAGAACAACACACGGGGTGTAACGAAGTCATTAATCGCTTACGTTAGCGAGCTTTGAAGTTCCCAAAATGCCTCTTTGGTTGCTGTTCACGAAAGCAAAGTTCCACAGGAAAGGTGTGAGTTAGACAAGATTTATAGCCATACACCAGTGTAGACCTCTTGAATTTCAAGACAAGATGCAGCTAAAGGTATCTGATGAGAGCTACTATCGCATGGAACACAAATACTATGTAGAGAAGGGAAGACCATTTGAGGGTCAAAAGAATATTGAGTTATTGGTAGGAGTTTTCACCTGTTAGATTTTTCAGTGCAAAGCATACTTTCAAACTGTGACTAGGGTAGGGTAATAGGGCTTTGTCACAAGGCACTGAATTACTAGGTGCTGGTTAAACTTGTATAAAAACAGAAGTGTTTTGTACCTAGTAGCATGAGTAATTCATTAATTGAGGAAGCTACCAGATGATGAGCTCAGGTCAATTCTTTTCCCTACTACCTAACCCCATCTTCCCTACAACCTCAATGGAAGATTCACTTTAGGCCATCAGATCTAGGATTAATTTGTGGAACTTGCCCTGATTCCAAATTTCTCAGTTACAAGTCTATCCACCCTTGGCAAATAATGCTAAGATAACAATAAGGTAATTTTGATTTTTTTTCCCCACAAAACTCTGCCAGACAAGTTTTAAACAGTTCTTGGCAAAGAAACATCTGCTTTTCTTTTTTAATTAAATCTTGTCACAATGCCTTCCCCTCATCCCCAATTCTGCTAACCCATTAGACTCATTTACAAGAATGCTAACCGGGGCATGTGTGGCATTTCAGGAAGTAATCTATTGAAGACATTTCTTAATGCATCTAAAGTGGCTTATTTACTGTAAAGATCAATGAATCGAAACTTTCTTTGTCCCATGTGCCATGTATGACCACAGAATTGCTGGTGTAAGCCGAATCACAGCAAAACAAATTTCCACATTCCCTTTGCCATCTGGGCTCTAGGGACACTTAAATTTTTTTGCATTTTGCTATAACCATTTCACGCATAACTTTCTTGGGCTCCTCATAACATGGTAAAATATTGTGACCAAAAAATGAAAAGTTAGATATACATATATATGCCCATATATATTATATCTACATATACATAGCAATGTATATGCTTACGGTACAGTAGCAATGCTGGGGAATAGCCATTGGCACCAAATGTAACCTGCATGCATGGAGAAAGTTCTCTCTGGCCCTTCCTCGGTATTGAGGGTGTTGAAGGTCCCTGGTATGTTTCTGCAGTCCCATTCTTGATGCTCCTACACTGTTGGGTACAACATCCTGTCCCGCCACAGCAGGGAAAATGGTATGAGAAGCTTCATTTTGTCTGGAGCCCATTCTAGCGCTACCTGCCAATGCTGTCATGTTGTGTCAAGATGTCATTTGAAGGATGAGCATCCAAAAAGAAATCAAATGAGTTGCCCCAGCAGAATAGACAGCGGCACTTAATGGCCATCCTTGCCTTTGCGGAGAGTGTCCACCATTTGGAAAAATGCTTTCACCTATGTCAGCTGCATTTTATCCTCCCAGACACCCTTGGAGATCTGCAGGCCAAGGATTATTTTCTCCATTTTTACTGATGAGGAAATTTAGACTAGGAGAGATGAAGTGACTTGCTCCAAGTCACACACTGAAAAGCCAAGAGGCAGTGCCATGAGTCCTCCAGGACTGTTTCCAGTAGGCTGTGCTTCTTTCTACAGTTTAGCTTCTCCAATTTTTGCTTTAGAGGAAGATAAAACTACAAATTTTGAATTACGGGAGCTAGCTATTTTCACATCTATTTTTTAATGTATTGTTTCTCACTTCCTCTCTTATTGTTATTTTGTTTGAAAGATGATGAAACATGCGCTTGAGTTACAAAAGTAATTTTTGGAAAGTTCCATACGCAAATTGTCCAGAGGCTTGAGTGACCATATTTTCTGTGGCTTTATTGCCACTTATCACTCATGGCTGCATTTGGGGGTTCATTTTTGAAACATTTGCAGATACGTTCAGAGGAGAGAAAATGTCTGGAATTGGATGCATGATTTAAGCAAAACATTCTTACTCCTCAGCATTTTCCAAGTCAAGGAAATCTCAGATGTGTGTAGGCCAACAAAAAGGGACAGCACTGCATGAACTTTTGTAATTTAACTTCTTTTACTTCTAAACAACTGGTAACATTTATCTACATTTGTGGAGTAGTACTTACTTAACACAATGATTTGTTAAACCAAGGAAAAATGAAGTTGCTACTTTGGCATTCAAGTTGATGTTAACTTATTATTATATTAAGAACTATCACCTCACAGCTGAACTTCACTTTTCTTATTACTTCATAATGATGAGATAGTTATCTCACTTGGTTGTTGGCTGGCTTGCATGGGTCATTCATTAAAAACAATTTTTTATTTGCTAGATACCCATAATATCTGCCGAACATCTGACTAGCCACAAGTATGTTACCCAGATGTAGAAATTTCATCACCAAACAGTAAGTTTCTCATCCACTATATGTAGTTGTGTACTTCCTATAATTTGTAAAGATTACGTAAGCATACAATACTACTATTAAAAGATGTTAGCTATATTCTTGATAGGGGAAAATATCCATTTACTTTTTAAGTATCCTTATGTTTTGTACCATAGATATCTGGGATATTTAATGTTGGCAAATCCAAAAGTTATAATAATTCTTAAAATAAACTTTATAATAGAAAGAAGAAAGAAATCAAACCAAGATGAAATATTTTTTCTTTTATATCATGAAATTATTACAAGAAGGGAGGAAAAGTCGAATCCTAATTCTAAATCTGAGGCAAAATTTAGAACTATGGAGCCCTAATTTGTTATTTAGATTTATTGCCTCAGAATTATATTTTAATTGCTAAAAAAGATAATGAATATATATGTATACATTTATATATATATATATACACATATATATATATATATATATACACACACACACACATATGTGCCCCCCATACCTGCACTGTATTCAAAGAATACAAGTATATTCGTTAATTAATCCAAAAATACTTATTAAGCCATTGCTGTATGCGGGTCAGTATGCTAAAGCCCCAGGCAAACAATGGAAGATAAATATGGTCCCTGCCCTCAAGGAATTCTTCCAATGGAGGAGAGCACATATAAATACCAGAGTAGATGCCAGGTAATATCAGACGGAACAAGGACATATATATGAGTATTTTTTTAGGCAAACATACACACAGCTAATAGAATCTTGTCCCTTTTGAGTTAATCATGTTGTGAAGCTAAACCATTATTCCAACAATGTAGAACCAACATTGCTGAACCCCTTTCTGGACCTCACCTTTGACATGGTCTTCAGAGATGCCTCTTGGACCATTTTTGTTTGTTTGTTTGTTTTTAACATCTTCGGTGTCAGTAAAGTCTTTGGACTCAGAAGATAAGAATGACTTTTGAGAATAGGGGGATTTGGTGCAAGTCAACAAACTTTTATTAAGCACCCACTATGTCCAGGTGCTGTGCTAAGCACTGGAAATGCAAAAAAAAAAAAAATCAAAACAGTCCCTGTCCTTAAGAAGCTCCCAATCCAGTGGGGGAGACGACATGAAAACAACAGGCTGAATTGGAGATAAGCAACATGGGGAAGGCACTAGCATTAAAGGAGAGGAGGAAAGACTTCTTGCCGAAGGTGAGATTGGAGCCTTCCTTGAAGGAAGCCAGGAGGTAAATCTGTTGAATCAGGTGAGTCATCAGGGTTGGTCTTACCACTTCCAGGGAATAATTGCATGATTATAACTTAAGGAGGCTGACGCTCTTGTGTGGCTTAAATACTGGCTCTGATGGTAATTACATTGTTGGAATAAGTGTCTAGAATCTCAGGGTGACTATTTTGAAGGGGACAACACTCATCTTGGTGGGTAAGTTATAGTGTGTTAAAAAAAAATAGTCCTATTCCTATTATTTTACATATCTGATGTGTATATTTGTGGCTATAGATGCAGGTAGCTAGCTATAAGTTTTAAAATTTAACTAAATATTAAAGACCATCTGTGAGAGAAGAATCACACAAAAAAATTAAAGGATCCATTTACTTTTCTTTCTCGAGAATAATTAATTTATTTATTAGCATAAGCAAAGGACTGATTATAGATATCAAATTTTTAAAAAGTGTCAGTTCCAAAATTATTGTACTTCTCATTAGGAAGCCGTTTTCAGTAACTGAGCCAGCTCAGTTGTGTGGTGGATAGAGGGAAAGAAGACCTAAGTCTGAATTCTGCCTCAGAAACTTAGTAGCTCTGTGACCCTGGGCAAATCACTCCATATCTGTTTGCCTCAGTTTCCTTCACTCTACAAGGGTTATGATAATAACAGCTCCTACCTCACAGGGTTGTTGTGGGAATCAAAAGAGACAAGTTACATAAAGCTCTATAGAAATGCACACTGAGAAGAGTAGTGATAAACAAGTGTATCAGTGTTTTTTCTTTGACTCAAATTACCAGGATCTTGAAATTCTAGAGCTAAAAGGGTCCTTAGGTATCATCTGTCATTTTATAGATGGGGAAATGAATGGCAAGAGAAATGGAATGAAATGACTTACCCAAGGTCCCTCAGGACATTACTGGCAGAGCAGACATTTGGACTTAAGACCCTGACTCTTAGCTCAGTGTCTCTCCTCACCCTTACCCCCACAGCCCATTGCACCCTGTTGACTAAATAAATGGATGATCTGCTTCTTTGACAAACGACCACAACCTTATAAATGTGTCCTGACACAATAAGGCAGTGTTTCCGCCATTAACTGGCTTCAAGTCATGTTGGCCTTCTGGATGGCCTCATCTACAAAATGATGTGTCTTTACTAGATTATCTCCAAGGCCTATTGCCATTCTCAAGGACCAGGGAAAGAATGATAAACTGTACTGTGTCTACTCTTCCATTGAATTGTGTTTAACGGCAGTTGATTAAAACATTCATTTGATGAATAAAGAACTCTTGAAAGGAATAAAGCCCAGTAAAAAGCACAGTCTACTAATTAATTGATGAATGTTGGTATAAGACCAGCAGGCCCCAAATTCTCCAAGATTTCTTTCTGAGCTTTAGAAAGAAACTTCACATTACTTGTGCTGATGAAAAAGGTTTTTTTTTTCCTGCCAAAGTCCATTCGTCTTGGATTTATTAAGCAACTAATTAATACAGTTGGTTTCCTGTTGAAATACAGTGCATTATTCCATGAATTTCTAAATGCATGGAGTCTAACCATTTCTTCTGAAATATAGCTCTGTATAGGTTGGACCTTACTTAACACTTGAGCATTATGAAAGGGGTGACACACGTGGGCCTGTCTAGCTGTGAGGGGCCTTGCTGCCTTACTCCTGGGTGGTTTGGGAGCATGGATTGCAAAACTATCCAGCAGTATACCAGGTTTTACTTGTTTGGAGAAGACAGAGTCCATTTGCTATTGCAACACTGTGAGTGTGCTAGGACTACTCAGTAAAAACAGATCTCTGTCACACCGACAGACTGTCCATCTTTTCAAATGAAATCTTTGAGAGACACCAGGGAATGCACTGTGGGGATATAGAGGGTTCTGCCGAGACATTCTATTCACCAAGACTCTTTTTCCTCCCCCTCCCTCTTTTTTGTAGATCATACTAAAGAGAAGAGGACAGTGTGCTTGGTTAGAATAAAGGACGAGGTCGTTAGCCATAATGTATATACTGTCAAGCAACACACCCAGCCAAACCCTCAGCCGTAAAGCATCCACCTATTGCATGTTATCAAGATGAAAAGACAACATGGAAACCCACTGCACACTGTTGCCTAGATATTTTGTATATTGAATTGATATTTGTGCTGAGGTGATCTTAATGTCTAAAAGAACAACATTGTCTCTCTTTTCTAGCACAGAGAGATGCATATGTATTTTGGTATGCATCCACCTAGTTAATTTCCTACATACTCATGCCATCTTGAAAAGACAGACTATGGTGTAACCATGATTCTATCATGTATTGGTACGTCTGTAGACCAAGATATAATTTTTTTAAAAAAATAAGTTTATTTCTTTCAAGGTTTACAAATAACAAAGGTGCACCTTGTATTTAAAATTGCCATTATAGACGAAAGTGTGCATGCACAGTCATTTTTGTTGAAGAGTAATATTTTTAATGTAATAGATTGTAAGAGGTGGTGAGGGAGGGATCTGACAGAGATGAATGTGCCAAGCAAAACCATAGCTGTGTATATTTTAAAGCACATCATGGCTTTAAGAACCATGTTGTTGAAGATTCTCATGAAGTGCCATAGACTGTACATCAAAGTAGAGTATTATTTCTTCAGTGTTATTATTTTCAGAGCCACGTTTTGTTGCTTACTCGCTAATACCGATCAGTCAAAGGGCACCGTTCTTTTTTCGAAACCAAAGCTGTCTCAGAAATGGCCCATTTAACCTTACAGTAACCATAGGCAGCACAAGACAAACTCTCAAATAAACACAGAAAACTCACACATACTGGAGATATAGAGAGAGAGATAGCTATATAGAGATTATATATATAAAATTATTTTAATGCATTGTAGTGTAATATTTATGCATATTATACTGTATAACATGATGCTCAAAAAAAAAAGGGAAATGCCATTTCTGAGACACGGTAACAAGAAAACAATGTTTGAGGAACTTGCTTTGCTTCTATTTATAGCCTCTGTCAAAAGTCAAAAGACTATAAATGCTTTGCAAAAATAGTTTCACTTTGTTTCCATTCTTCATTACAGTCACATTCAAAATGGTGACTCTAAACAAAGAGGAAGGCAGCAGCACTGGCATTGGATGCATGTTAAACCAAAATATAAAAAAAAAATGGTAAAGGTTTAATTAAGTAGTAATTGGGCAGGTTAAGTACTTGGGTGAATTTTATATGTGATTTTTTTTCTCTTTTTGTTTCTGTTTTGTTTTGATTAACTGCTTATAGCCTTAGAAAGCCTTTTACAAAATTAAAAATATATGTAGATGTGCATTCAGTTTTTAAAAATAGATTCATCCAAAGGAATTCCTTTTTTCTTTCTTTCTTTTTCTTGTGGTTTAGATGTTGCAGCTAGTAGAGGATATACATATATGTATATGGACGGATATATATGTATATGTATAATTTTTTTTGCCTGTTCAGCAATTCTGAGCATTGCTGAAATGGGGGCCAGGTCACTAGTAGTGTGGTGTGGAATGGAAGAGGAGGAGGTTCCGTTATAGAACCTTCCATACTTCCACGTTTACGGCAAGTTTTTATGCTCGAGAGATATGCTTTCTAGTATAAGAATGATGTGTTGATTTTACTGATTGTACTGTACATCTAATAAAGCCTTAGATTATTACATTACGGGTTGGACCCCATACCAATGTAATTTCAATCGTGTTAAGAAAGTATAGGTGACTTCACATGTTATTGTAGTTAGTTTCATTATAGAATTACTTATTTTCCTTGTTAAAATGTAGATTTTAATTTCCTACATTTATTAAAATTGTTTTCATTTTCTATTAACAATTGAATACCATTTCAGTTTATAAAATTTTGTTTTATTAGATTTTACTGATGAATTTTTCAAAATACAAAAAAAATAGTTTTTTTTCTTTCATAACATACTCAGTTTTGAATTACATGTAGTGTCATATAAGGATTCGTATTATTGTTAACTAAATGATTTATATTTTACGGATTTAATATTACAGTGTAAGAATGTCAGTCATTGTTAGTTCTTGTCTAGTTTTCATTAAAAGAACAAAGATCTTTTATATGGATATCTTATAATTATATAATCATTGCTAAGTAAGAAGTTAAGTTGTTGCTATGGCAACAATCCTGGCAGACAATTGAGTAATATTTTGATGATTTATTTTGTTTGTAATTAGTTATTATAAGAAAATCTAGATCCTAGATATTAGAATAAAATTTATTTTCTACTGTATCCATTTCAAATGTTAAAGTATTGTTTAAATATTTTTTGAAATCCCTGAATATCAGGCCTTGTTATAATTAAGCTGCATAATCGATAGATCAAGGGACTTTTTGTTGATAATCCAAATACTCAAAGTTTACGTAACAAGAATTTTAGTGTGTGCAAACTCTTGAGGGTTGATTATGCTGCAGTTTAGCATGTTGGAACGTTGAGGAAAGAAGGTTGACTTTTTGCACTTCTGTATATAGTCAAAAAAAAAAAGAGAGAAACCTGTATAATAGTGAGATCTTATTTTGAATAAAAACGTCTATAATTACAAGGAGTTTTGTTAAGGCTAATAAAAAAAAAATGACAGGCTGAGCAAAATTGCTTGCAAAAGTGGCAGAGTTAGCACTCCAAACCCCTCCCAAAAAAGTGGCTTTGCTTTTTGTGGACAGCTTGTAGTTTGCCAGGATTTTTTCAGCTGGAAAGATATGCCATCCTTCCAAGATCTCATGACTGACAACCGCTCCACTGGTCCAAATATGCCTGAAGATCATTGCCAAAAATAGCAGGTACTTATTGCAACCATTAAGGTTAAATCATGGATCAGAGAGTCCTTACATTATTCAAAACTACTGCATGTTTAAACTATCAAAAAAAAATAAGGAGAACTATATTAAGAATATATACTATTCAAACCAGTTTCTGACAATTTCAGTGGTTTATTGTTCACAAAACAAAAATCTTCAAAATGAGTATTGACTCTCACAAAAAGTTAAAAAATCATGAACAGGCAAACCAAACAGCACACCGTAGCTATTGTTGTTATGTGATTGTTTTTTTATTGCTATTAGTGAGCTGTTCTTTTAGCAGGTGAAAACAAACAAATGAATCAACCTCAAATTTTACAGTTTTGATTTTCAAAATCAGAAGCACTCAAAACAACGTTCTGAATCACGTTGTAATTTAAAAGTCACTAACCCAGTGATATTCGGCTCCAGTTTTATCGGTGTTATCCAACAGTCACACCAATCAGGTGATGACGCTGTTGCACTTATTTGCAACCCTGCAACTTTCATCTGCTGAAAGGACAGACGCGCTTGATTTTACTATTATGTAATCACAGGATTCCTTTTGCTTGTAGTCGCTTTGAATTATGTATTCTGTCCTTGGCTGCCATTTGTTTTTGTGCTTCTTTTATTATTATTATTATTGCAATAGTTGACTTTGCTGTATGGAAAAATAAAGTAAAAAATTGCCCTAATAAAACTTCTCTTTCTTAATTATATTTTTATATTGGAGGTTAAAAGTTAAATTATTTTTGTTTGTGTCTGTTTTGTGTATTCCTCGTATATCTTCATACAAATTCTTTATACTCCAACTCCAACTCCTGGGTTTTGATATCCTAGTTATAGGTAATACATTCAGTATGTGAAATAATCAGAAATATCCCATACTCAATTTGCTGCCCTCTTCCCTCAAAGTGTTTGAGTTTCTGTGAGAGTGACAAATGTCATTCATACACAGAATGGGAATCTCAGTCCTAGTGCCTCACCTTTGTTTTCTAAAAATATATTTTTTAAAATTAGTTGAAAAACAATTGTCTGATATTTATACTCTTAACTGTCACAATTCAGTTTAGGTGCAACAAAGAGATATGAAGGGGGAAAAAAAACAGCTTATATGTCATTTTCATCTCCATTTGATATGGTTGTGGGATAAGCCCTCTTATCTTTTAGTGGAAACATGAATTTGAACGAGATGTTCAAAAATGAAAGTTTAATGTTGGAAGAGTCACGGCACATAGATCAGAGAGAGAAAACAGATATATCAAAGTTCATCTAAGGCAAAATCACCATGGAGAGGCAGCATAGTAGAGTGGTGGAGGACCAGCCTTGGCATCCAGAAGATCTGATGCATGCACCTGTTTGACCCTGGACAAGTCACTTCCTGGTGGAGTGAGTTCCCAGTGAAATCACAGGTCAGTATCTCTATAGCTCCTATAAAGACATGATTGAAGTGAGGTTGATTCTCCTATTCAGGCTCTAAAAATGGACAGTTTCACAAATAACTAGTGAATATACTCAAATGCAGAAAGAATGATGACACACCTCTCAATTCATTATGGATCATTCAGTGCTATGATAAATCAAGTCCACCACTCTATGTTTGCCCAAAGTTTGCTGAATATTTTTGGTATGTTAATTTCTTATGTCCTAAAAATGTTTGCAATTAAAAAAAAAACATTCTAACAATTAAGTTGAATTAACACAATTCTCTTCTTAGTCAAGTTCAATTGAACACTTCATTTTATACCCCAAACTTTCATCTGCTGTAGGATCCAGGCTTATAAAGAAACTGAAGCAGCATGGGAGACCATCTTCCTGAGTCTTTTCATTCTTTGCATTTAGTTGTTGTCCACATGCAGATAGCCTCAGTTCTAAATATGGGGTTAATCTGAGGACTTGAGTTCTAATCCAGCTCTTCCACCTACTCATTTCGGTCACACAATTTGATTTCTCTATGGACCTCATTTTCTTCATCTGTAAGATAAGATAGTCATACTATGTGTTTTCTACAGTCCCCGTCAGTTCTAAATCTGTGATCCAAATGGTTATGGTTCATAGTGTATTTTATCAGCTTTTTATGGATTCACTATTATTTGTGCAGACCTTAGGACATCACTGAGACTAATTTTACTGGGACCAAGAGAAGTGATGGGTTGGATAAAGAGATCCTTCCAAATGAAAAGTACTGAGCTACCAACCTAGGAAACCCAGGGAACAAAACTGGAAACTATATCCAAGAAACTAATGCATGAAGGAGTGGTAGAATTATAAAATCTTCAAACTGGAAGGGAACTCAGAGATAATCCCACAGCTGAGGCAGTGAGGTGGTGCAGTGATTAGAGTGCTAAGCGAGGGGAATACCTGGGTTCCACTCTAACCTCACTTGCTTACTAACTGTGTGACCTTAGACACATCACTTAGCTTCTGTTTGCCTCAGTTTTCTCCTCTGCAAAATGGGGATAATAACAACACCTATCTCCCAGTGTTGTTGTAAGGATCAAATAAGATAATAATTGTAAAGTGTCTAGCACTGTGCCTGGCACATAGTAAGCATTGTATAAATAAAAGGTATTTGGGGTTCATGTGGATGTCGGAGTGAAAATCATTTATGAGAAACTTACATATTGCCACATACATGCATACACTTTTGGGAAGTCCCCAATGCTCTAGTCTTCCAGCTTCCAACTGTGATGATTCTTGGTTGAAATTTACACACATTTGCTGACCTACAAAGGTGGCTTGGGAGTTCATTGTAAGTAAATAATATTTTTATATAATGTTGGCAACATCTCTGGCGCTTGTCAACTCAATGTTGGTTGCTAGGGTGGCATTCAAACCTTCCAATTCTATTGGGATGGTTATTTAAGAAGTGAGGGATGAGAAGAAATAAGAGTAGATTTCATCATTCAAAAATTTACAACAACCAGCCTGCTCTGAGTAGCAGCATGAATGGGATATGGAAAACAAAATTAAGGAGTAGTAAGCAAAGCATCCAATAATCCTTATTATGAGTGGTAGAGAGGTAGATGAATGCATGAATGGATAAATAGACAGATGAATGAATGACAGAATAATGAAGGCCTTGCTCCAATATCAGGTTATTGCTGTTTTCTTCTTGGCCATTGGTCTGATAGATGGAAGACATATAGTCATTGGTGCATACTGCAAAGAGTAGAGCAGTCTAGACAAAGGAAAATACTTGTAATCTCTTGTCACAGATCAAGCATTAAGTATCGACTTTGTGTCAGGCATTGTGCCGAGCACCAAGGATACAGAGGCCAAAGCAAGGGTCTTTGTTCCTGAGGAGGTGACATTCCACTTAGGATCACATATAGAAGAAGAAGCAGATCCCAATAATTGTCTGGTATTCCTTCCCCATCCCTTTCCTGCCTGTCATTATCCTGACTCATTTTTAATAAGAAATGTGATAGATGAATATTTTGGCTCAGAATGTCCTGTTTGGTTCCCTTTTACAATAAAATGGTGACAGAGAGAGAGACAGAGAGAGAGAGAGAGAGACAGAGACAGAGAGAGAGAGACAGAGACAGAGAGAGAGAGAGAGAGAGAGAGAGAGAGAGAGAGAGAGACAGAGACAGAGAGAGAGAGAGAGAGAGAGAGAGAGAGAGAGAGAGAGAGAGAGAGACAGAGAGAGAGAGAGGAGGGAGAGAGAGACAGAGAGACAGAGAGGGAGGAAAAGGGTGGGGAAGGGACACCAGGTGATACCTGGCATGAGGGCATCTTGTTCCATGGAGCTGTATGCAAGCAGGGCAGCAGAGGCAAAGTGATCCATAAGTCCAGTTTCTGCCCTCCATAAAGGAAGGTGCTGGGAGGAGTTTGGTAATCTGCTCTCTAGTCCTCCAAATATAGGGGAAAGATGGCTGAAAAAGATGAAGTCCTAACTAAAGTCCAAGGCTTAGGTTAGCAGCATGGTGGTGAGTGATGGTGATGATGTTGGTGATGATGATGGTGATGATGATGATGATGATAATGTTGACAATGTCAAGAGAAATATGGATTTAGCATGACTACTCACATGTTTAACCTGTATCGAGTTGCTTGCCTTCTCAGTGAGGGTGAGTGGGGAGGGAGGAAAGGAGAAAATTTGGAACCCAAAGTTTTAAAAACAAGTATTAAAAATTGTTTTCACATGCAACTGGGAAATAAGATATACAGGTAATGAGGTATAGAAATCTATCCTGCCCTACAGAAAAATAGAAGAGGAAGGGAATAAGAGAAGGGAGGAGATAGAAGGGAGGGCAGATTAGGGAAAAGGGTATTCAGAATGCACACTGTCTTAGGGTTGGGGGACGGACAAGATGGGGAGAAAATTTGGAACTCAAAATCTTGTGGAAGGGAATGTTGAAAATTAAAAATAAATTAATTAATATTTAAAAGAAAGAAATGTGAAAAAAAGAAATGATGAACAGTCAGACTTCAAAAAAGCCTGGAAAGACTTACATGAACTGATGCAGAGTGAAATGAGCAGAGCCAGGAGATCACTGTACACAGTAACAGCCACAATGTGCGATGACTGGCTTTGATAGACTTGGCTCTTCTCAGCAATGCAAGAATCTAAGACACCTCCAAAAGACTCACAATGGAAAATGTTATCCACATCCAGAGGAAGAACAATGGAGTTGGAATGCAGATGGAAGCATACTATTTGCTCTCCTTTTCTTTTGTTGTTTTGTTATATTGCTTCATTCTCGTGGTTCCTCCCATTAGTTCTAATTGTTCTTTACATCATGACTAATGGGAAAATATGCTTAATATGAATGTATAAGTAGAGCCTATATCAGACTGCATGCCATCTTGGGGTGGCGGGGAGAGGAGTGGGAGGAGGAGAAAATTTAAAACTCAAAATCTTATGGAAGTGAATGTTGAAAACTAAAAATAAATTAATTAATTATCAAGAAAAACAACAAAAAATAGGAAAAAAAAAGAAAAATGTGGACTCATTAGGGCAGGCAGTAGATGGTGGTAGTGCTGGTATGACAAGGAGTTTCAGGCCAAGCTAGGAGCTGTCAGCATTGAATCAACAGCAATAGAATGATGAGGGAACCTCTTGGACCAAACTATTGACTTGATTCAAGAAGAGAGTTACAGGCGAGAGACTTGAGGAACACCAAAGCCCAGACCCTCAGTGCGTAAGAGGAAACCTTGATCTTGACTTTTTCCAGCATTGTTCATCACTTGGACTCTTTAGATCCAGGGGGGAATCGGTTGGTTGACTGCCTGTTGACCTTGAATTTTTTTCTCCAGATATAGAGCAGTGGTTAACTTCAGGTTAATTGTGTAGGCAT